ATCCCGCGCTTTGGGAGGCTGAGGTGAGTGAATCGCCTTTACCCACCGGTTCGAGACCCACCTGGGCAACTTGGTGAGACCTCATCTCTACACTAAATAAAAAAATTAGCCGAGCATGGTAGCGCGCGCCTGTAGTTCCAGCTACTTGGAAGGCTGAGGCGGAAGGATCGCCGAAGCCCAGCAGGCTGCGGTGGCCGGGAGTGGCCACTGCACTCCAGTCTGGGGGACAGTGAGACTCTAACTCAAAAAAAAAATTAAAAAAAGCAGAAAGATTACAGAACACATTAAAAATGACAACTCCCTATGAAATGTGAATATAAATTGATCATCAAATAAACGAATGCATCTACAGCTAACTTAATGATACAGTATTTCCTGTGTTACATTTGTTTGACTAAGGAGGGTAAGTTGTCACGGAACAGGATTTCTAAAGTGAGTAGGTGCTGATGCGTATAGAGGAACAAAGTGCAAGCACTCAATTTACCCACATACTGGCTCCAAAAGTTGAGTTAGAACTCAAGCTTATTTTTACCAAGAAATATTCTAAGATTGGGGTTCTCAGAGTTGCCATCGAAAACCATGCTTAACCCATATATAGCTGAACTACAGCAGCGAGACCTTTATGGAATCTATGCATTTAATACCTTCTGCTTATGGATGAGTGCTGTGCAGGTTCAAAAGGTCGGAGTGGGCCGGGTTCGGTAGCTCAGCCCAGTAGCTCCCAGAGCTTTGGGAGGCCTAGGTGAGTGGATTGCCTGAGCCCACGGGTTCGAGACCTGCCCGGGCAACTTGGCGAGACCTTCTCTCTACAAGAAATAAAAAATTAGCCAGGCATGGCGGCACGCGCCTGTAATTCCAGCTACTTGGAAGGCTGAGGTGGAAGGATCGCCGGAGCCCAGCAGGTCGAGGTTGCGGTGGCCGGGAGAGGCCACTGCACTTCAGTCTGGGTGACAAAGTGAGACTCCAACTCAAAAAAAAAAAGGTCAGAGTGTATCCCTGCCCTCCTGATGCTGTCACATGGCCTCCTTCCCTATACCATCCTGTCAGCCTCTGTGCCCAGCAGACACTAACAACATGTATTAAACACTAGTGAAGAGCAAGGAGCGGTGCTGCCTCTCTTCTACCTGCCAGCAGGCTCAGAGACACTCTGCAGTGGCAGCAGCTCTGGCCAGAGGGGCGAATAGCACAGGGTGGCAAGCAGCAGCAGGCAGGCAAGGATTGGTGAGGAAGGAGCAAATTAAATGCACAACCCTGGCAGGAAAGCTGGGCCTGCCAACACAGACAGCTTGATGATGTGAAACTGTGGTCACTCTTCAGTAAGGCATTAACATTCTGAAAGCTTCCTACCTGGTTCTTGAGCAGAGATCTGAAAGAGTGACCCTACCTCATGACTCGAGTGTAGCTGTGTGCAGCCTTTAGGTTTGTACCTTGAACTTCAGTGTTCCTCACTCCCAGCTACTGCCCATGCAAGCCACCCTGCCCTCTTGGTCTCCCTTCTTCTGTTCTTGCATCCCCACCCACTCCCCGTTGGTCTCCAAGCTGGTCTGCCTTCTTCTATTCTTGCCAACCCACCTGCTCCACACACACACCTCCACCCACCATTACACACAACCCAGTTGCCAAAGTAATCTCTAAACATCAATCCAACCACGTCCAACCTGTAGGAACACTCCAATGGTTCTCCATTATCCTTGGAATAAAATCCAAGTCATTGGGTAGGGACTGATAAGGCCCCCGAGTACAGGGACCTGATTTTATTTCCTGCCTCTTTTCCCCTATCATTCTTAGGTTCCAGCCACAGGCTTCCTGCTGGTTCCCATCTCTGGGGTATATTTATACTTTTTGTTCCCTCTACCCGGAATGTTCTTTTTTTTTAAGCATAGTTTTTATTTTAAAATTGCGGGATACAGTTAAGGGTTAGGTATACAAATATGCATCGTTCAGGCACCCTTGTTGATAAGGGGTGTCCCCCCATCCCCAGACAGATATTGACTACCATTAATCTCACCTCCCTTCCCGTCCTTGCCCCCCCATAGTTTCCCGCCACGGTCAATCCTTTTCTTATAGTATTACAATAGATGTTCAAGGTCCACTTATGAGTGAGAACATGTGATGCTCAGATCTTTGTTTCTGTGAGAGATCACTCAGTATTATAAACTCCAGTTCCATCCAAGTTGCTGCAAAGTTCATGATTTTGTTCTTTTTTATGGCTGCGTAGCATTCCATCGTGTATATGTACCACATTTTTTTTAATCCAGTCCTCTTTTGATGGACAGCGTGACCACCTGCCCTTTGAAATGTTCTTCAACAAAATCCTCTGCACCAATCTCATCATCCCAATCTCTGCTCAAGTATTACTTCCTTCCAATCACCCAATCTAAAGACCCTCCGCCATCACTTTCAAAACCACTGCCCTGTTTTCTTTTCTTCAGAGACTAATAATATCTGATGTGATATTATTAGTCTACCTGCTTATCAGTTCCACCTTGTCCATCATGTCCATCTTGAAATGATCTAAACAGAGAAAATTACCCTCTCGTAGAGTGTCTTCATCTAAATCATTCCACTTTATTTCCAGTATCCCTCCCACTCACTCTCCCCTGACCCAAATCACCTCCACACACACACCTTTAATAGAATGTTCATGGCACTCAGTTGACATTGAAACTGTACACATTGATTTCCCATTTGCTGTGATGAAGGACTAATGAGGGCACGTCAGACACAGTGATTGCATAAGAAGCTATCCTGAGTCTGCAGGAGAGGAGATGACCACAAGCTCAGCAAGCTTTCAAGGCTTCTGCATTCCCTATGACAGCATCCTGTGCCTTATCACAGGCTTATTCCAAGACCCGTACAGCCAGACAGGAGAACCCTACAGCCTTGCTTCAATAGCAGTAGCTGCTGCAGAATCTCCAGTGTCACTGGTGCTGACACCATGACAGGTCAAGGCTGAGATGCCTGGAAATCTCCATGAATCCTCTGTGAGGCAAAGGTGACTTGGAGAACTCCAGGCACCTCTGGAATTCTTGCCTACATTTGTGGTTGGGGGCAAAGGTTCTGGAGCTCCACAGCCTGGCTTTGAATTTCTGCTTTGCCACCAACTAGCTGTGTGACCTGGGAACGTTAGTTATCCTGGCCAAGACCAAATGTTTTACAATAAGGGAAACTGAGTCCCATAGAAATGACTTTTCAAAAGGTTGCTGTTTTGTTTTAGTTTTCTCATCTGAAAAATAGGGACACCCATAGTGCCTATTCTTAGGATTGTAATATGAGTTAATTGATATTAATAAAACTCTATTACTATTATGAGTTATCAGTAAAATCTTTCACATGGCTTGCATGAGAAAGGTCCCAAGATTGATATTTATTTAAATGTACATAAATGATCATCTAAATCCTTGGGGATAATGTATCTAAGAGAAGATATAGCAACTGGACATCAAAGAATATAATCTACTTACTGATTGCTGTCCTAGAGTATCTCAGAGTTCCTAAGCCATGATCTTTAAAACTGGAGCTTCCCACAGAATGACAGGGCTAGCTAAACTGGAAAGGAACCGTGGCTAATCCTCAGACCACCAGTGACCAGCTCCACTTTCGACTGTGGTCAGTGACATAAACATTTAAACATAAGCTCTTAAATAGCAATTTTGTTTGGATATTTCTATAGGATTTGATTTTCCTTACTGCAGAAAATTGAATGGTAATCAATCAATTGTCCCATTTTTTTCAACACATTATTACCCACAAAACTCTTGGGAAATGGAAAGAACCATATAAAAATGAAACTTTCCTCCAAGAATTGACAAGGGCAGCTTGTAATAATCTCAAAAGACAAGAAGCCAAGATAGGAAGGACTTTTAATCTGAAAGGCATGCTTTATAGACAAATGAAATGGAGACAATCGCACCTGTGCATGGTTTTGCTACCACAGATTACTCTTACCTAGTGTTCCTCTGCTGGGGTCAAACCAGAGCCATTAAACATTTTGAAAACATAGTTTAATTTCTACCTGTGCCCTCCCAAATTTAACAGACTCACTATATAGCACTTACATGCCTCTGTAAGACTAATATGATTTTTATAACTATCAAATTTTTTTTGTATTTTTTTTTTTGAGTTGGAGTCTCACTCTGTGGGCCAGACTAGAGTGCAGTGGCCGCTCCCGGCCACCGCAGCCTCGACCTGCTGGGCTCTGGCGATCCTTCTGCCTCAGCCTTCCGAGTAGCTGGAACTACAGGCACGTGCTACCACACTTGGCTAATTTTTTTGATTTATTGTAGAGATGAGGTCTCACCAAGTTGCCCAGGCGGGTCTCGAACCCGCGGGCTCAGGCAATCCACTCACCTCAGCCTCCCAAGGTGCGAGATTACTATAACTATCATATTTAAATGAGTAATAAGTCACAGGACCAAAATTATTAACATTTAACACAAACCAGAACACCATAATCACCACAATTCATCCTTTTGCATAAATATCAAGTTCTTAGAGAACAAAAGTTGTATAAACAATGATCTGAAATTCACCTGAAGACTAGTGATGTGGACATTCTCAAAAGCCTTTCATTTGAGTCAGATGTCACAGCAACAATCCCAAAATGCTTTATTAACTCTGCATCGGTATTATTAATTTCACTCTTAAGATGTCCTAGTACCTTGGGTCTTTTCAATACATTAGTTAATGAAAATTGCTTTCACTGTCCAGTACCTTGGCTTGACTAATTAGGATGGAAGTTCTCAACTTCTGACCCTAACACCACTTCTTCAGGTAAGCAAACATATGACTACACCAAAGAAATAAACAGGAAAGGAAAAGAAACTGGAAGGAAATTCTATAAAATTTGAGGAAATAACAGTGTTTTTATGAACAAACATTCCAACCTAAATCTCACTGAAAGAGAACTGCTGTCTCAAAATTATATAACACAATAATATCAATTAATTTAAAATTAGAAGCATTGTAATAAGAAAACTCCATCACACTCTGTGGCTTACCTCATCATCTTTATACCAGGACAAGCTTTCCGCAGTAAGGACAAACCAGTATCCCTTGGAGCCCCCTTTCATGATGCCAATGTTGCTGATGGTCAGCCACCCCTTGCGAATCACCTGCAAAAGACAAACCAGCAGAGGCATTGAGCTTAACACAAGCCAGCGGAGACTAGGGGTCTTGGATTAAGAGAAGCTAAAAACAAGAAACTAATTGCAACAAGCACAACAATTTTCCTCCAAAACTCAACTTCTGTTGAACTGCTCCAGAGAAATTATCATCCAAAAGTGCAGATGACAGGAGGGAACTCTCTCCCGTCAACGAATGAAATCAAAATCTCGGACTCATAGGCATGGTGGAAGCAGAGTGACTGGAACAGACAGGAATGAAATGAGGCTGACTGACAGACTTGCACCAGGCCTCCTGACACACTGATGATTGAATGAACAACAGACTCTCCATGCCCACCCCTCCTCTCCCCTTCTAGCCTACTGGCCCATTTGCTTGCCTGGTTTGCAGCTCATTAGGATTTCCACCAGACACTGAGCAGCAAACGGTGCAAAGAAGAAACTCCATTCAACCAATCAGTTCCTTGTTAATATCCCTGAATAAGGCTGATGGAGAGAAAAGGCTGAAATAATAAACTTAATTGAAAAGTTTAGTATTTTTTAATGGACTTGATTTATCCACTTAATGCTCGTTGTTATTTGCCATGCTACAAAACATGTAGCATCTTCACAAAAGAATCTTTAAACAGCTTTTATATTTTAAAGTATTAACAACTTGGGTTATATATCTACCACAAATTATTTATAAATGGCATTTAAGGAAAATTGTATTTTTTTCATAGTTGTTGTAAAGTTCAATTCTGTTTTCCAGATGGCATCGCTTACTATGTTCTCTATGCTAGATAATTCTACTGTTTTAAAACTAGAAATGAAATGCTAAATGGAATAGTATGATATTATTCTAAATGTCAAAAATTGTCCTATACTGAAATAGTTCAATAGCCTAGACTCCTGAAATATGAAAAAAATTAGTTATTGCATAACTAATAAGTGCCAGTTACTAGAGGAAGATGAAAACACCCAAATAAACAGATTTCATTTTTATATTGCTACTGAGCTTGCTAGTTGAAGAAGGCAGGTCAATCCCCAGGAGATGATGAAGCAAGCAGCAGTTCTCGTTATCGGTCTTTCAAGCCTCCCTCTTCACGTCCATGCCCTGCCCCCACTGACACCCTGCATCAGTGTCTTCCAGGTGTCCATCTTCCTTGTTAGTGCCCTCTTGCTTCTACGACCCACATACATTATCCCTCTCAGGTCCAGACTAAGGCAGTCTTCTGGTTCAAAATTATCCCTTCTTCTTATTCTCTACTTTAGAAAGAAAAACAACATTTTTCAAAATATAGTTTCTACTAGCTATGTTATAATCATTAGGATGCTTCTTAAAAATACACACTTCGCCGGGCTCGGTGGCTCAGCCTGTAATCCTGCGCTTTGGGAGGCCGAGGTGAGTGGATTGCCTGAGCCCGCAGGTTCGAGACCCGCCTGGGCAACTTGGTGACACTTCAGCTCTACAATAAATAAATAAATAAATCAGCCAGGCATGGTAGCACGTGCCTGTAATTCTGGCTACTTGGAAGGCTGAGGCGGAAGGATCAAGGGAGCCCAGCAGGTCAAGGCTGCGGTGGCCGGGAGCGGCCACTGCACTCCAGTCTGGGCCACAGAGTGAGACTCCAACTCGGAAAAAAAGAAAAAAAAAAATACACACTTCTGGGCCACTTACCAGTCTGAATGAATCAGGATGTATATATATATATATATACATACATACATGAAACTCACGAATCTACATTTTAACATGCTTCCAAGGTGATACTTATACACACTGAAGTATAAAAACTACTGTATGAGCCGGGCTCGGTGGCAGCCTGCAATCCCACGCTTTTGGGAGGCTGAGGTGAGTGGATTGCCTGAGCCGGCGGGTTGGAGACCCACCTGGGCAGGCAAGACCTCATTTCTACAATAAATCAAAAAATTAGCCGGGTGTGGTAGTGTGCGCCTGTAGTTACAGCTACCTGGAAGGCTGAGGCGGAAGGATCGCCAGAGCCCAGCAGGTCGAGGCTGCGGTGGCTGGGAGCAGCCACTGCACTCCAGTCTGGGTGACAGAGTGAGACTCCAACTCAAAACAAACAAACAAACAAACAACAACCAAAAAAAAACTACTGTATGTATACATACAATCAAAACTTTATTTTCCTCAGAGCAAATGGTCACATCGAATTTTTAATAAGAAGGAGCTAACTAAATTATCTCACACTAAGATTATCACCCACCCTACCAGGGCTTACAAGTAGCATACTAATTATAGCACTCGAGGAAAGTGTACTAATTATTCCATTTTACCAGATGACTTTGGACATAGAAGAAGTCTTCTAGATACTCCACAAGTTGCAACAAGTAAATCACCATTTCATCTATTGGTTTAAAAGACTGGCTCCACCAAGGAGAGTCATGGATTTAGTTCAATGACCATTTCTTAGGAGCCTGCCACATGCAAGATGAAAAAATAATGATGATGCCATAATTTCTGCTCTCAAGAATCTATCGACCCTTGAGACATGATTTCAGTGTAACAGTTTGGGGGAGAGGTGTATGCCAAGAAAGAGAAGGGACACTTGAAGAGTCATAGTAGACTAGCCTTGAGGAGATGGTGCCTCAGTAGAGAGCCTGGAAGAGGAAGAGACTGGTCAGGTCAAGAAGTAGTTTGTTCATTTGTTTTCCATAGAGAAGGATGGAAAAGAACAAAGTACGAAAGAACCACCTGGTGCAGAAAGTGTGAGGTAGGGTTGAAGAAGCTGAGCCTGGAGAAGAAGGTGGGATAACACTGGAACGGATCCAGTCAGTGATCTCACTGATCTCACTCCCCTGGCAGTACTGAAAATAAACATCAAGTACATATCCCTAATATGCACTTATTTATTTTAAAATGATATGTATGACCATTGTATTGCTAGATTGTATACTTTATGTAGAAATACACAAAGAAAATGTAAAAGTATGGCATGAAGATGAAATAAATATTATCTTTGCCATTTTAAAAGATTTTGTGAAGGAAATGTAGTTTATGTTACATCTATCACTTTATTATTGCCCTTTTGGAGATACAGAACGAGGGTGCTGGCACCAATATGTATAGTAAATATTAGTGACTCTAAACTGCTTTTTTCTTTTCTTTTTTTTGAGTTGGAGTCTCACTCTGTTGCCCAGGCTGGAGTATAGTGGCACGCTCACGGCCACCCCAGCATCAACCTGCTGAGCTCCAGCGATCCTTCCGCCTCAGCCTTCCAAGTAAATGGAACTATGGACGTGCGCTACCACGCCCAGCTAATTTTTTTTTTTTTTAATTGTAGAGACAAGGTCTCGCCATGTTGCCCGGGCTGATCATGAACCCACAGGCTCAAGCGATCCACTCGCCTCAGTCTCCCAAAGTGCTGGGATTACAGGCTGAGCCACCAAGCCTGGCCTGTTTTCTTATTTTCTAGATGAAAGTTCACATCATTTAGATGTCCTGCTATGTCATCCTGCATTCCAGTGGATCTTGCATGCTACCTGTGACCAAGTGATGAGACTATATAAGCTACTGCAATAACCCAAGTGAGAGATGATCAGGGTGTGAACTGAAGCCATGATGTGCAAGCCTAAATAGAAAGGAACCTACTGAAGAAATACCAAGGAGATAAAATCAACAGGACTTCTGGCTGGATAAGGGGGATTTGTGAAGAGAAAGATTTACAACTATTGCAGCAGCCTCTAGTCATAGTCACATGTGGTCACTGAGTCCTACTCATTAGTGTCAGCTGAGATGTGCAGTAAGTGGAAAATGCATACTGAATTTTGAAAACTTAATACAAAAAGTAAAATATCAAAAGAAATAATTTTTTAAAAGTAAAATATCATATTGTTAAAATGTATTGCATATTGAAATAATATTTTGCATATATTGAGATGAATAAAATCCATTTAAAAAGTGAATTTTACCTTTTTTATTTTTTAATTTGGCTGCCAGAAATTTTTTAAGTACATATGTGTCTTGCATTATATTATTATTGAACAGTGAGCTGTTCAGTAGAATGATTCTGAAATTCTTGGGGCTACCAACTTTGAGAACTGACCATTCTAAAACTCAGAAGGAACAGAGAAAGAAGACCAAGTTTTGGAAAGTGGTGAAGTTGTTGATGAATTTGGCCAAAGTCATGCTGAATTTGAGGCAGGGGTAGGAAACACTCAGCGGTGACCTGTTCTCTGAAGCAAGAGGGAGAGATTAGGACTGCAGGTATAGACTTGCAAGTCCTCACCACAGATGCTGGTGCAGTTAAAACTGAGCAAAACAGCAGTGGCTCAAGGTAGAATCCTGGAGAACACCAACCATTCAGGGATGATCACAAAAGGGTCTAAAAAGGAATGTCAGAGAAATAAAAGCAGTAAGGTCATGGAAGCCAAAGGCAAGGTGAAGTTCAAGGAATGTGTAGCTGGAGTGTCAAATTCAGCAAAGAAAGGGACATGACAGCCGGGCTCAGTGGCTCAGCCTGTAATCCCGCGCCTTTGGGAGGCTGAGGTGAGTGGATTGCCTGAGCCCGCAGGTTCGAGACCCGCCTGAGCAGTGAGACCTCATCTCTACCATAAATCAAAAAATCAGCCGGGCCTGGTAACGCATGCCTGTAATTCCGGCTACTTGGAAGGCTGAGGTGGAAGGATTGCCGGAGCCCGGCAGGTCGAGGCTGCAGTCTGGATGACAGAATGAGACTCCAACTCAAAAAAAAGAAAGAAAGGGACATGACAGTAGACTGCAGATACTTCAGTATCTTTAAAGTGCCAGTTTTGGTGTGGCAGTGGGATTTGAGGTCAGAATTAATTTGGTTAAAAAGTGAACTGGAAGCAAAAAATGGGAACAATGACTAACGAGTACCCTTCCTGGAGAAGCATGGAAGACAGAGTTAAAACAAAACAGGGTACAAGGATTTAGGAGGTGGGTGGTTGTTTGATTTTAGGTTCCTTCCTCTCTCCCTCCCTCCCTCCCTCCCTGTTTCCCTCCCTTTCTTTCCGTATGGGTAACA